TTTGTTTGCAGCACATCTACACTTAGTTCTGGATAGCGCAGAACATCAGTTAGGGCTGCCCCTTTGTCATCTCAAATGTTACGGCACTTGGTCCCAGCTTGGATTTACTGAAGACAGAGATTGATGATAACCTGTAATTGCAAGTATTGCTTCAGTGTGAAAAAGTTTCATTCATTATATTTGATACACTTTTCCTCAAGATATCTGACAAATAACTGCCTTCACTTTTATTTCATTAAAGCAACATGCTTCTGCAGGGAAAGTGTATTTGAGGAGCTGTACTGAACAGTGACCAGATAGAGCAATGCTAGATGAATGATAAGTAGCAGGATGAGGGATCAGTGGTCTAATTCTATGCCATCCCCAGAGCAGGTAAAGCTGCCAAACCCCTTGTGATGCTTTGCACAGCCTAGGTTTAAGAAATTAGAAACACATCCAGTAGTTAGAAACAGCCGATACTAAATTTAAAGTCAGTTATTTTTGCAGTTGGATTTAAAGAACAAGCAAACTACACAGCAACTTGTATAACAGATTACACTCCTGCTATTCAGTAACTGCTCTTACCTTTCACCCTACTTCATCATGCCTTTTATTTTCAAAAGGTCACATTGAGTGAAAGAGGATACAGACAAGTGTCTTGGTCAAAATAATTTTGATTTTTTTTTTTTTTTAAGTGGAAGATGGTGAAGAGAACAGAAGACAGACAGTAACCAACTGCAACACTTAAGAGTTAAGAAATGGGAGACTTGTAGTTAGTGTTTAATGCCACCTACTGTGAAACTTTTCCCACTGGGAAAAAAAAAAAAAAAAAAAGAGAGTGGGAGGTAAGTCCAGTTTGCTCCATCATAGGCTGGAGCAGAACATAAAACAGCACCTCTAACACCACAGTCACTATTACATGTATTCAAGTTTTACACATCTGCAAAACAGAAATAGTAGCAGCCATTGGGATGTTCTTTCTTAATGGTTCTCAAAGTGGGTCTGGGAAACTCGGAAGGGCCTGGCTCTTGAGACATAGAGCTGGAACTGCAGCTGCTGCTTCTGCTGCTGCTTCCAGCCACCTGTGCTCTGCCCCTGTCCTCAGCTGGGGATATCTGGGGAGATGCAGGGCTCAGGTACCCAGCTGTGGTCTGAGTGGAGACAGTGGCATAAGTGGTTGGGCCCGTGTTGTTTTTCACGTAGACATTTTTTATAGCCACCAGTGTGTGCGCCATGATGCTGAGGCTATTGCTGAGATCTTGTATGCCTTGCTGCAGCAGCCGAAGATTATGGTTAACATTGTCAAAGCCAGACTGGATCACCTGCATCTGGGTCTGCTGCATCTGCATTAGGTCCTCTTCAGTAATTTCATTTTGGTCCGTCTGGGATCGGCCTTTTGTTTTAGCTTTTCCTTTCCCAGAAGAGCTGCCAGAAGATGACCCCAGAAAAGACAGTTGTTCCTGGCTGGGTGGAACCACAGCCATGTCCTCCGAGCTTTCTTCTGGCTCCACTACCTTCACTACTATTTCTTCTTTTAGGTTCATCTTGTCAAGACTGGATTGGTGAGATGGTCCGGGGTCCTCAGCAAACCCTAAGGACATGGCAGATGGGGAGGAGAGGGAGAGAAAGAAGTCATTAGATATCCTTGCTTCCACAATCAATTGTGCTTCTACCAGCCCAGCAAACCCTTATACCAAACCTTGAGCCAGGGTCATTTACTTGTAAGGGGACCCACACTCGTGCTTCCAAGGTGTTATGATGAAGAGGACTCCTTGCTTTTAGCACAGGGACTCTCTCCAGGCTGGGTGAGGAATTAAACATGCTCACAGACCAACTTTGGCACAGGTCTCAGGCTGGGATCCCTTCTCTGCCTGTCCCCCGCCACCCCCCATGCAGAAGTGAAGCTGGTGGAGAGCTCTGCTGTGACAAGGGTTAGGGGCTTATCTCCACTGCTACTTCCCGAAGTAAACCCTCACCCTGCGGCCCACCGCCTGGCCCAGACGGGCTCGGGCCCTTCCCGCAGCCACCTGCTGGTCCGGGAGAAGGGGGGTGAGGCAGCACCGACAGTCCCTCAGGGGCCCTCCCGCCGGCCGGCTGCAGCCCCCTCCCGCCGGGGACTCACCGAGGTCCAGCACGGAGGCACCGGGCAGGTCCAGCGTGTCGATGCCGCCCACGATGGGCACGGCCTCGGCGGCGGCGCCG